ATAAATAAATAAATAAAGATTTATGCTTTGTTTCTTTAGAGATTAATATATGTCTTGTTCTTTATGTTAATGCTCCAAAAATATGCACCCCTTCAACCACAACATACCATACTTTTAAGAGGTGACTGTTTCCATGCTGCCTCCATGGTTCCTTTGTGAATGTAACCCTGTTTCCAGGTAGCCAGAGTTCACAGGCCTGGGATTTTAAAAATAAGATACAATAAAATGCCCATTTTTATATGATTGCTGTGTATAAATGCGGGAAAGAAAGCCATTTTCCCTAAAAGCTAAGGCTGCAGATCAGAGCCTTACATATGGTGAATGCTCATGTTCCTTTCCATTCTTAGTCTACTTCTCTTCCTCTTAGATTGTAAGCTCCTCAGGGAAGGGAATTCTTTTGTTTACTGCTTTATAAAAGGGTTTGCCTATCAATTGGTGCTGTCATCACAATGCAATGATGATATTATTTTCAAAAATTGTGCTTCTCACATATTGAGGCATAATTAGAAGTTTGTGTTTGTTATTTAGTCAGTGAGTTTTGGAGTTCACGCAATGTTTCATGCTTTTTCTAACTATTTGTCTTCTGTGGTGGATTTCTTGTTCCTTTTAGCTGAGCTGCTGTGGAGTCCAGAACTACACCAACTGGAACACCAGCCCATATTTTAATGAGCACGGCATTCCCCCAAGCTGCTGCATGAATTCCAGTGATTGTAACCCTTTGGACCTCCGCAACATGACCATTGCTCCTACTAAAATAAACCAGAAGGTATGGGTTGGGGACGGGTGGAAATTTTGTTCCATTTGGGTTTTTTTATAAGAACTTTCCAAAATGTGCAGAGTTCATCAGAAATGCAAAGAACCTGAGAGTTCTTTTTAAAAATGAATGAAGGAGGAAGTAAAACAGAGGAATTGCCCATTCAAACAAAGAGTGTTGTCTGTCTGAAAAGGTAACGTTACAACATAATGTTAGGAGATGTCTGCTCATCTCCTAAAAACCTCCATTTGAATCTCTGTATATTCATTTTTATTTGCAGTTATGAAATAGGGTGGCTACTTCCTTTTCAGACAGACATCTCATTTTTAACAGTTATATGTCAGGCAGGTGCAACATGGTCCTCTCCATACTGGAAATAGCTATGCGTACTAAATTTGTATAGCGCATATGGTTGAAAATGCCATTCAATTCATTTTTGATAAGAAGATGCTGAACTGTCAGATTTCTTCATAAACAGGATGGAAAGAATGTAAAATATTCAAAAGTGGGGGAAAAGCAAAGCTGGGGGGAGTCATCCATTTGAAATATGGGCCAGTTTGGGTTTTTCATCCTTTTTTTTTCCCTAGTGGTTCTCTGTAACAAAATGGAAAATGTACCAAAAGGAAAGAGTGCGGAGAATTAGCAGCAGTCTTTCCCTTTCGGACTACTGCTTGGCAGAGTCTTAAAGTGGATGTTTCTCAGACATAAACAGAAGAGTTGTATCTCATGGACCTCCATCCAGACACTACCAGAGATTTCTGAGCTAACTTGTCATCCCCATAATTCTCGTTATGACAGAAGACTTCCTCCACAGAGACAGAACTGACAAAGCTGAGAAATGCAGCAAGTAGATTCAGATAACCCTGGTACTTACGTCAGTCATTATGTCTGGTCTCATCTGTGCTCCGCACCCCCATTTTTCAACTTGTCTTCTGAAAGATGTGTCATGTACTGGAATGCTAGCAGCCTGCCTGAAGTGAGAAAATAGGGTTGTTTGACATAAGCACCATGCTTCATTAGGTAGGTTTACTGTACCTGTTATAATGTTACCAGAGTTATAGGGCTGCAGGCATAACAAAGCAAAAAGTGACCCAGAACCGAAAGATGGCTGAAAATGTTTATAAAATTGATGGTGTTTCCATGATTTTGAGTGAGAGCACACTGTATGAATAAATATATAGGGAATAGAATTTCATGGTTTTATGCCACTCATGCTTTATGTGGCACACAAAAACAATATCTGACTTTTGTACAGATTGAGAGACAGAATTCCTTTGCCGTTGTTATTGCTAGTGTTTGCAGGAAAGGCATTAGTTTATCTCAGAAAGATAGACTCTTGAAGTATCCAATAATATTTTTTGTAATTGTATTTATCCTTTCCCTTATAACTGTTAAACAGTGATTGGAATCATGTTGCTTAGCATAGTAGGTCATAACTAGAATAATAGAATAATGGAGGTGGAAAAGGCCTATAACGCCATGAAGTCCAACTCCTGCTCAGTGCAGGAATACAAATCAAAGTATACAGTATCTGACAGATGGTTGTCTAATTTTGTCTTGAATGCCTCCAGTGTTGGAGCACTCACCACCTCCAGAAGTAATTTGTTCCATTGTCATACTGCTCTAACAGTTAGGAAGTTTTTCCTATCAGCCAACTGAAATCTGGTTTCCAGTAAGTCTAGCCCATTATTATGCATCCTGCAAAAAAGATCTTGCCCTTCTTCTGTAAAAGATCTTGCCCTTCTATCTTTCAGGAATTTGAAAATGTTAGGAATATGTCCTCTCATTCTTTTTTCTCAAACTAAATATGCCCAGTTCTTTTAAGCTTTCTTCATAGGGCTTGGTTTCCAGTCTTCTGATTATCGTTGTTGCCCTCCTCTGAACTTATTCTAGTTTGTCAGCATCCTTCTTAAAGTATGGTGTCCAGAATTGGGAACAGTAGATGAGGCCTAACCAGTGCCAAATAGAGGGGGACTAGTACTTCATGGATTTGGAGACTATACTTCTGTTAATGCATCCTAAAAGAGCATTCACTGTTTTTGCAGCCACACAGCACTGTTCATTCATATTCAGCTTGTGATCTATAACAATTCCAAGATTTTTCTTGCTCATAGTATTACTAAGCCAAGTATCCTCCATCTTGTAACTGTACATTTGTCCTCCACCACCAGCCTCTTGATGTAGAAAGTTGCACTTATCCCTCTTAAATTGCATGCTGTTGTTTTCAGCCCAGTGCTCAAGCCTATCAGGATCTTTTTGAATCTTGTTTCTTTCTTCCAGGTTAATAGTTATTACCCCAACACCACAAATTGTTAAGTATTCCCTGCACCCCCTTGTCCAAATCATTAATAAAAATGTTGAACAGCTCCAGTCCCAGGACAGAGCCTTAGGAGTACCCCACTTGCTATCTTTTCCCCACTTGTTACAGTTTGAGAAGGAGCCATTGATAAGCATGTACCCCACTTGTTATCTTTTCCCCACTTGTTATCTTATAGTTTGAGAAGGAGCCATTGATAAGCACTCTCCAGGTATGATTCTGAAACGAACTGCGTATCCACCTGACAATTGTTCTGTCCTGTCCAGCCCAACCCTTAGTCTGCTTGCTTATCAGAAAATAATGGGGAGCTTTGTCAAAAGCTTTGCTGAAGTTAATATATGTTACCAGCATTCTCAACAGGAATGTTACCTGATCAAAAAATGAGATCGGATTAATCTGGCAGGACAAAATGGCATTTTTATAAAAGGCCTTCCTCAGCCATGACATGCCTTTATTGGGCAGAATCTGCTGGAAGTGGGAATGCAGAAAAGGAATACTCCCAGTAGCATTTCATTGTCATCCAGTAGAAACAGAGTCATTCAGGAATGAAATCTAAAGTTTTACATAGGTATTGATGTCCTTTTCAATCCACGTTTCAAATATAAGAAATGAAGATGCCGGCCACAGAGACTGGCAAAACGTTAGGAAGAACAACCTTCAGAACACGGCCAAAGAGCCTGAAAAACCCACGACAACCATAAGAAGTGATTATTTTGTTATGGGTCCTAAGGTTTTATTCAGGACTCAGCAATCAAAACTAAAGATTCCATCTGACCTCAATCTTGAGTGCAGTGTCTAGACGGCATCTGGTAAATTGGCAGTTGAGGGGAACACAAAGACTGGTTCCAAACTAATTTGGTAACATGAGCCTTTCTGAGGCACTGCCTGGCCATTGATTAAAAACATTACTCCTAACCTCGGTGTATCAGCGTGACTTCACAATCTGTATCTGAAATAATCGGCCATGGGTGTGTGTCTGTGGGTATCTTCTATTATTAGGAAATATTTTTATTTGGAGTAACTTACATGTGTTTTCAGTCCTGGGATCTTTTCTCCTTTGTTAAAACATAAACATTAATTTTAAACTGTTTTATTTGAATAAAATTACTAATTTTAAACTTCTTGTAAAAGGTAAAGTTTTATACAGCTATAAACAGTATTGAATGCATTCATTCTAGTTACAATCTTTTGCTTCTTAGTGTATTTCTGGTGTTGAAATTGCTGCAGTGCCAAAAAGCCTAATTCTAATTTGAACGAATATTACGTCAGAGGCAGGTAGATATCCCTTCAAAGAGTAATTGGCTGTTTTTGTTCTTCAGGGCTGCTATGATCTCGTGACTAATTTTATGGAGACAAATATGGGAATCATAGCCGGAGTGGCTTTTGGAATTGCATTCTCACAGGTACCGTATTAGTACTTTGAAGGAAAGTTGTGTTTGTTTCTATGTTCAGCTTCAGGGAAATATTAGGGCATGGGCGGGAATCAAACTGCTCCTTAGGTCATCTGTTCATTGATATTTTTTTTTCTTTTTCCAACTTAAACAGAATCCCTCTTTGGGAATATCTGTTACAGTCAAGCCTGAAGGGGAAAAAAACGACCTTCCATTGGGTCAAATAAAGGTTAACCTAATAAAGCACTGGCTTCAATGGAGTGTAAACAGTTGACATGCCAAGTAGTTGATCCATGGTTTGGATAGTTTTTTCAGAGTCCAGAGCTGTTTTGCTGAAAGGAAATATCAAATTCAGAGAGTGATCGTTTTTACAATGAATTGTATGCCCAGTTTGTCCCAGTTGAGATTCATATGTAGGCCCAACTACAGTTAAGTTAAAACATAATCAACATTTATTATAAGGAATATTAGGAATATTATTTTCAAGGGAACAGCATTATTTGTGGAATGCAGCTTCTCCCCTCCCCTTATTAATTGAATTTCTGTAAGTATAAACAAAGAGGGATTAGCTATGGTACATTGCAATGATTAAGTCAGAAAAGTGTGCAGGTCCAAATTAAGTTAAATTAATAGTCATCACTGTAGCACAATCCTTATAGCTAGAACTACTAAAATCAAAGCTTAGTTGGAATTAACTCCTTTTTCCAGTTATGTAAGGATAACTATAACACATTTCATTGTAATTCTAAGTATACCTAAATACACTCCTTTGGCAGTGCAGCTGTAACTTTTGGCTAGTTATAACATCGACTCACTATATGGTGAAGGAAAGTCAAATGGTTTGACTGCTGCTTTGGCTAGGTCTTCATACAATATTGGCAGTGTTGAGGCTGTGAGGAGGTGGATAAGAGGAACATATGTTTCGTAACTTCCACTTGTAGCACTCAAATCTTTTTATTTTGTGAAATCAACACCCCCAAACTTTGAAAAATACTTAATTTTGTTTACTTTTGAGAAACAAGGAACTAAAGAATTCCTTTTAAAATATATAATAAGAATACTTTTTCTTTTGGGAGTTTGGAACTGCAATTATAATTAATTATTTTAAAACATTTTTTTCTAAGTTCTGAGTAAAGTCCAGTGTCCTGTCCCAAAGGAAGAACATTGCATGTACTAGCCATACCGTCTTCTGTTATGTCAGACTGGGGGGTTCCTTAAGCTGTACAGATTCAATGCGTTATTTTATGTCATCCTCCTGCCCCCAAATGTAAACATCTGAAACTGTAGTCCTGTGATCCTGGGAATGTGGAAAGGAACCATATGAATCAGCAAATTTCTTCTCCTGTGGTCTTTAACTATGCTTGTCAAAGTTCTTACCTCGGAGGGGGAGTTCTCATGACTATCTGCTTAGGACTCAAGATACGTGGGTTCAAATATCTACTTAGCCATGAAAAGTCACTGTCAATGGTAAACCAGTTGTTGAATATTCCACATACCTGGAAAAACCTACTAGAGTTGTTGTAAGTCAAGGAGCTACTTGATGGCACATTGCAACATTGCAAAAACAAGACAGTACAATGAAATGCTATATAGATTGAATGAAAAGGAAAAGAGTACTCTTTCCTTATTTAATCTGTTTCCTTGATCCAAATAAAAAAGTGTATTTTCACGGTAATCAATAACATACGGAAACATCAAACAACAGTATGCCTTTAACTTTAGAGGCAGTTAATCTCCCATAAAGAAACCATCTTTGGTGTTTGTCTTGCACAGCAGAATGTTTTCTGCTAGTCTCCATATGACGTTCAATTTGTATAGAACACAGGCTCTCCAAAATGGAAAAAAATGGGGTGGCCATATGAAAGCAACTGTGGCAATCACCCTGCTTTGACTCATGTAGGAGGTTGTTTGCATACACCGATGGGAGCCATTGTAGGCTACTTCTTACAATAAGTACAGCTCCTGAAAAATAAAAATGAGATAAAGAAGTATAAGGAAGACTGAGAAACCATCAGAATTGTAGAAATATGTAAGCCAAAAGTATGATTTTGCAAAGCAGAAAATTGATTTATAATTCGTGGGAATGCTTAGATAGGAATACATTGGGATAAAATATGTAGGATTTATACTTTGGTCTTAGCCCTTCTTTCTGGGGAAAAGGAAACAAGTGAATGTACACACAATCGTGTCTGGTGTGTAAAATCTACATGCATGAGAGGTGGGTTGGAAGATCTAACAGTGTAGCAGAGCATACTTTGAATGATCTGTAAATAATGCAGAATGAATAATAATCTGGAAAATGCAGTGCAAAAATGATCAGAATTTTGTTTAATAGTTATTTGAAAGGAAGGCAGCCACTGGCATGCCAGCCCACTTATGGTGCAGATTGAGGAATTTCCCAAAGGAGCAGCATAAGAGCTTTTGGATGCGTGAAACCTACAATAGGAGCTGAAAAAGGCAATCTGTCAGAGTGGCAAAGAGGCTTCCAAACCTTAAAGGCCAGATTGGACAGGTGAAATGTTGGATGTAACATGTTGCTGTGCCACTTGAGAAGATTAATCTCATTGAGACTAACTGGGCATAGGATTAAAATGTATTATAAGCAGCAACATTTTTGTTGCCATTTTCTTGGATGCTTTTACAATTGATGGTACTTCCCAGTCAAGATGCAGAAATACAACTGTCAACTGATTTTCATGATCCAGTTACGTAAGTTATCTCAAGGACTAAATGAATATAATGGAATATCTATACATCACTCACTACTCTCTTCTGTCAATGGAATTTGTCTGACATCCTTGGCAAAGGATATTTTCAAAGGTATTAAGGTTATATTCACACCCACCCAAGATCTTTTCATTAAAAAAATTGCAATCAGCATTTTCAACTAAGTGCAGAAATGATTGCACAGGTGGCTGGCAGTGCTTGCTTGTAAACATTTGGAGATATTGTGTATCTGACCATCTGCTGTTGCTGCACCAACAAGGCTGGAAGTAGAAGATTCCTGTGAAGCACAGGATTACCTGTAAAGCTAGGTACTGTGTGATGCAGGAAAACATGGTGTTTACTGCACACATGCCAGCACAATGATCACTAGAAAGAATAGCCTGGCTGTGCATTGATAAGCAGCTGGAATACAAAGAACATACTATATATCCCCATTCAGTTTTCATTCTGTTTTCATGAGTTAACTTGCAAGTTGGCCCATTGCCAGTTTTTAACAAGTGAAATCTGTAAGTGCATGGATATATTCAAAGATACCTTTTGGATGTAAAATGTTCATTTTTCTTTCTTTCCCCATTTTAAAAAATCATTGTGTTTCAGCAGTAGTCATTTGGGCTGAGTGCAAATGTTAAGCTGAGAGGGAAAATACCTTTTTCACACCAAGCAAGTAGGAAACATATAAGAGCAAATATAACCTAACTGATACTGCATTAGAAAACATAGTGGAGGTTGCATAGAAACAATTAGACTTGCTGTTTCTTCGATGCATTAATTCTATTCTCCTATTATTGCAACAGACTTAATATATAATACTTGTGTTTTAATGTATTTCTAAGACTTGAATCAACTCTAAAAGCTCCGCTGTAGAGTCACTGGATTTCATAGTGACTACATGTATGACATTTTCTCTTTCTCTCTTACAGTTGATTGGAATGCTGTTGGCATGCTGTCTGTCTCGATTTATTACTGCCAATCAGTACGAGATGGTGTAACAAGGTGGGCCTGTTATGTTGCTTCATGCAGGGTGCTCTTCCCAAACTGACTGAAATGCCTTGCATCATACTCGTGTGACAGATGTCATAGGTTTAATAGTCAATGGTTGATACTGAGTACCCTGCATTTAGAACAGGAATGCTCATTTCCACATAGAAATGTGGATGTTAGTCAAGAGAGTTCTTTCTGTAAAAAGATGTTCAATGCTAAGTGGCATTGTTAAAATTTTAAAAATCCTAGGTATATTTCTTGATTTGGATAATGCACTGAATATAATTTTCTATACAGTGTAGTTTTATTTAGTCAGCAAAAGTGGCCTCTTAAAATACCACTTATGTTGATTTACAGTACTGTATATGATTTATTTGATTTACAGTACTGTATATGATTTATTTGAATTGGCTGATTAATTGGTTTACAAGCAAGATAACAAAGCATCCAAACTGCCTAAACTTCAGAGGCAAAGTGATTTTGGATGCTTTGGTGTCTGAATTTACCTCTCTGTGGCTTCTTCTTGATTGATTTCTTATTAGTCTGCTGCTTTTCTTTTTCTTTTGAAACGTCTGCTTTATGGCTCGTGTTTGTTAACTGTATTTATTATAATATTAGTATAACTTTAATATTCATATGAAATAGAAATGTGGACCACATCCCCATTTCATATTCTTCTTTGCTATTCTGTGGAGCTTGGGAAAGTTGTGTTTTTGGACACCACCTCCCCGAATCTTTCTTAGACTATAGTTCCCAGAATCTCCCAGTCAACAGTGCTAGTGGCCATGCTGGCTAGGGATTTCTGGAAGTTGTAGTTCCAGAAGCTTCCTTTCTCTGATGGGAAGAGTCTTCCTTCATTGGATCCAACTGCTAGGAGAATATTGTTTGCCATGCTCATGACTAGTAGTGACTAAAACAATGTATTGTTTTCCCATCCCTTTTCTGTCCTTTTCCAGGGGTGTGATGTACAGCGCCTGTTTTCAATCAGGAACTGGATAACTCTTGGAAGACTTCTTAAGAATGTTAGAGCACACATACACAACTACACATCTGCATACACACACATAAAGCCACCAACTTCTAAACTCTGTACCATGCGTAGTGTACCATTCCGTGAAGTACTGTCGTGCCACAAAAGTAGCCTGAATCATTCAGCATCCAGTACTGTACACTTCATCCTGAAGGCTCTGCATATGATGGCACTATATGTATGTTCTTGGTCAGACTGTAGTTGCATCGTAAAGTTAACAGAGGTAATTCATTAACAACAATGACTGGGCTGTGCATGTAGTGACAGGGGGGCGTAATTAGCCTTTCACTATGGTTAATAAATGTCGCACACATCCATATTAAACCTGTATACAATATATATATAAATATATATATATAATTTGGTTTATTAAATTTGTAATTTCTTGGTTTTGTTTACTGCTTTACTAAGGTTTTTCAGTCTACCTACCCCCCTGAGAACAACTGCCCCAAATAAGAAGAAATCAATTATAGAACATGTGCAAATACTTGAAAAAATGTCCAAAATCTGCTCAAGGGAAATTGTTCTTTTGATGTTCTGCTGCATCTTTGATCTTTAATCAATGTTGTAGTGCGTATGCCAACAGGCCTTTGTCTAGTGCATTTTGCCTCTGAATCTGAACCTGTGTAATACTGTTACTAAGCTGTGTTGTTCGCTTATTGTGAAGCCAGTAATTTTTGCTTCCTTTTTATTAAATAATTATGAGTTAATCAATTTGTGCTGTAAAGCAACATCATCCCCCGCACCACTTTTTCCCCTTTCTTCTATTCTCCTTTTGCATTGAAGTTATCACCAAGTACATTGTCAAATCAATCAAACTTTAAAAAAAAAATAACAGAGTGTGTGGAATATTTTTGGGGGTGGGCAGCAAAAGTTTAAGACCTTTTTAAAAAAAGAAGAAAATTTTTTAATAAGGCCTCTGTCTAGCATGCCAACAAGAATGCATTGATATTGTGAGTATTTGTGATATACATATTAATAAATGGAACCATTACGGATTCCTACTGGCTTCCTCTTCAATTTTTCACTAACATTGCTTTTTTTTTTCCAATGATAGCATTAAAAAAGTTAGTATCCTTAAAACACTGGATTTCCTTATTATTCTTTCTGATTCTGCAGTGCTCTTTATGAGACTGATGTAGCATCATCTAAATATGGCTTGTATCAGGGCTTAGACATGTCTGTATGAAGACACAATGTTTCTGTATTGGGAATCTGACCATTGCTCCATCTAGAGCAGGGGTCTCAAACATGCAGCCCGGGGACCATTTGCGGCCCGCCGGATGATAGTTTGTGGCCCCCGCCTTGCCTGCCCCCCCAAAGCACCCACACGTCCTCTGCTGTCAAGAGTCAAAAAAAGCCTCACCTTGCTTGTTGGCTCTCTCCCAAGACAGCGCCTCTTGCACCCTCCATCTGGAACTACAGTCTGCCTGCCGGCAGATAGGCTGGCTGGCTGGCAGGCTGCAGTTCCGGATGGAAGGTGCAAGAGGCACTGTCTTGGGAGAGAGCCGGCGAGTGATGCCTGAGAGCGGAGCTCGCTCCCAGCCCATCCTTGAAGAGCGCCTCCAACAGCGCCGCCAACAGCATCTGCTGCCGCTGCCGCCTCTTCCAGGGAAGCGGCTCTCTGTCTCTCTTTCTCTCTCGGCAACCCCAGCACCATCCCGGCCAGCAGTCGCCTCAGCCCCAGGCGGTGCTTCCTCCTCCTCCTCCTCTTCGTCCTGCTTCAGCCACCTTGGCTCTGGAGGCTGCCTGGGCTCACCTCGCAAAGTTTGCTTCCCTGTCGTGTTGGGAGTAGCTGTTGCTGCTGAGCGCACCTTTTTTTGAGGGGAGGCTCTCAGAGGAAGGTTGCCAGACCTCCATGTGTGTGTGTGTGTGTTTCTGTGCATGTGCATGCACGCACGCACCTGTGGGGGGCGTCCCGTTCTGTTTAATTTTGCAGGTACAGATGGGGGCTTTTCTCCTTTGGCAAGGCGATTCTGTGAGGTTTTTTTAAAAAATCTGATGTGGCCCAGCCTCACCCAGACTCTGCCTCCAGCGCCACCCAGGTAATTTGAGTTTGAGACCCCTGATCTAGAGACTCCAAGATAAATGTTTTCAGAGAGTTATTTATGTTAGTCTGACCATGTTAGCCTTGTTAGTCTGTTTAGCAAAAGCCAAAACAAAGCAAACATAAAAATAACTCGCAGTGTTGAGACTAAATTATTTCCATTCAACCTTTTGTGGATGCACCTCACTTTTTGAGGTACATGGATCAGTAGGAAACGATTCTTTTCCAAATACATTACATCGTTGACTGGAAACTCTGGGGGTAGACTTCGCATGGCATCATTCTTGCACATCATAAACTGCTTAAAATTCAGTGCTTGCTGATCCTCTTTGTCGTGCCCATTTGCATCACAGATGGTGACAAAGCCAGTGCCAACACAGTCTGGTATGCTATTTCACTATTAAATAACTGTAAGAAAGAAATGTAATTACAAGACGTTAGTAATTAAACCATCCAGTTACATTGGGACAATGAAGAGAGACTGTTCAAGGGGCAATTAAAGAGGATAAAAACACAGCCCCCACCCCTGCCCACTACCAAGAAGTAATAAAACTAGCAGGACCTGCAGATAGGAAACTATTCATTAAAGTTACAGTAGCCCTTCAGAAAAGCCATTCTGCAATTGCACTTCAACTACTGCAAAAGTGGTCACAGTCAGTTCTAATAAAACACGGCACAAACCTAGCAAACATTGGACTCTTAACAGTTTGAATTCCCTGTAAAAGTGAGTGAAACAAAGTACCACAGCTGAACAGAAAAAGGATAGTGAAGAAGCAGACTTACACTCCACATAGCATTGAGGAGACAATTCATATATGTCTAAACATTTCAAAATAACATCTGTCATCTATTCTGTATATATATGGCATATACATTTGTGTATTCATACATTAGTGTTTTTTTAAAACAATGTGCAAGTGTACATTTTTTCCAGTTTTGTCACAACTGTGTAGCGCCTGCCCTGAGACTCAGCTATCTGTTGTTAAAATAAGTTTGAAAAATGAGACATGGTACAAATTACAAGAGCAAGCCATTCTTTTTCATTTTATCTGTAAGGATAAAGGAACTTTAGACACATCTATGATAAAAGAGGCATTATTATGTGAGCTTCATGAGTGCACCCTCCCTTCAAGCATGGGAGCTTTGATAAATACCAGCACCAGAACAAGAGCCTTCCTCCTGCCCATTGTCACCCGGTATTGCAGCAATCCCAACTCTCTAATTATGATGGAGTTAACAATTTAGGTCAGGTTCGGAGAGGTCTCTGGGGCAATTTTGAAGGCTCATTACTCTGCCTGTTTCCAGGATCTGGCACAGAATCTCAATAGCCCAATCAGGGGAGGGGAAGGTGCTCCCAGGATACTGAGCATTATGTGCCCCAGATCTCCAGGAACAAATGTTGCTGTTTGGCATGACCTGCCAAGTGAGAAATGCTGAGGTTTGTAGGGATAAATCTTCCCCACCCATTACCCATAAGGCTTAGCTCTAACATATTAAAGGAACTGGCTTCAAATACACACCATATTGTAGCCTGCAAGAAAGTTCACACTTCAGCTATGCTCTTTCTGCTGCGGTAAATAATTGGGGTGGATCAGCTGGGTCTGGAGCAGCAGTAGCAATGAAGGAAGGATCACTGTGCAGATTAAATTTTTAGGTCAGGTCAAACCCCCTTAAGTTGATCTTGAGCTGAATCTCATTTCAATAAAATAAATAGTTTTTTCTGCCCTTACTCATGAGAGGCAATAAGAGTAATCTGAAACAGTATTGTAATGGGGATGGGGAATCTCATGAAATTCTGGAAGCATACGCAGGATTGCTGCATTTTGTTCTGTTTTTCCCTTGATGTGACACATGCAGCAGCAGTCCTCCCTCAGATCAATTCTCAGTACAGGAAGGAAAAAAATGCATGAAAGTTTATCTCTTCCAACTCCATTATTTTATGATTCTGTGATTAAGGTGCACCAAAGATGCATTGGTGCTTGACATGAAAAAGTGTCCCTGGAGAGGGACTCTGGCCTCACAACAGATCTCAATACCTGGCATCCCTCAGCCAATGCCTGGATCAAGCTGCCCTTTATGAAGTCTCCCAACCCCCTGGAGCATTGCAGGGTGGTGGTGGAAGTATCAGGAGGCATTAAAACAGTGGTTAGACAAAATTGTCTGTCTTCTCTTTGATGCCACCATCATATTCATTCCAAGAAAACCAGCTGATGAAATAAAAGGGACAGCAGAAGGCACCTAATTCAAGGGAAGAGTTTGGGGGAGGGGAAATGTTGGGACTACTGCTTCCCCCATCAGCATTGCTAGCTGATGGAATCTGAGAGCTGCAGTACATTATTTTCCAAGCTCTGTCCAGGATCCCATAACAGCCTGGAGCTAGTCTTGTTTTTCCCTGTTGCTTCAGCCATACTGGGCAAGAACAAACCTTCCTAGTTTCTGTTTATACAGCCAAAAGAACAGAAGAAAAGCCAGGAAAAGTGATGAGCAGGGGTGAGGGGGAGGGATTGTGTGCAGAGGCAATAAAGAAGGCCAGTTCCATGCTAGGCATCATTAAAAAGGGGACTGAATATAAGACAGCTGACATGATGATGCCATTGTGCAAAACTCTGGTAAGGCCGCACCTGGAGTATTGTGTACAGTTCTGGTCACCGCACCTCAAAAAAGACATAGTGGGACTGGAAAAGGTGCAGAAGAGAGCAACTAAAATGATTACTGGGCTGGGGCACCTCCCTTATGAGGAAAGGCTACAGCATTTGGGGCTCTTTAGAGAAAAATGTGGCTGAAGGGGGAACAAATAAAGTGGATAGAGGGATGCTCTTTTCTCTCTCCCACAATACCAGAACCAGGGGACATCTACTCAGATTGAGAACAGACAAAAGAAAATATTTCTTGACCCAGTGTGTTGTTAGCATGTGGTGATGGCATCTGGCCTAGATGCCTTTAAAAGGGGATTGGACAGATTCCTGGAGGAAACGTTTATCACAGGTTACAAGCCATGATGGGGATGTATAATCTCCAGGCTTAAAAGGAAGTTACCTCAAAATGCCAGAGCCAAGGGAGGGGTATCAGGAGATAGGTATCTAGTTGTCTCATGTGCTCCTGGAGGCATCTGGATATGGGCACTGTGAGATACAGGAAGCTGGACTAGATGGGCCCTTGGCCTGATCCAGCAGGGCTCTTGTGTTCTTATGAAGATGGCAATCCTAATTAAAAGACTCTTGCCACATAACAAAACGAGGGTTTGTTTTTCTCAGTAACCCGAGGTATTTGCTTCCTTGCTTCCAGCTCAGTGCTGCCAGTGAGAAAGAGGAGCCCTTAAAAATACACCAACCATGTTCCACAGTGGTGATTTTTAAAGCCATGAGCACTCTTTGTGAATCAGAAATCAGGGCCATCTTTCTCACTGGCCGTGCTCCAAAGTCAAAGCAGCATGCCCAGCAATTAAGCAGATGAAGCTGGTATACATGCCAGGATACATTTCCCTCGACACATTTATGTGTTAGACTACAATTCAAGCCAGGAAGAGGAGGATTTAAACCTTAGCTTGGGCCTGCTTGGAAAGTATGTTGCACATGAACGTTAAACCGTGGATCTGCCGTTTTGGCTGAAGGATTGTAGGAGTTGTCCAAGGGCTGCCATTTAACAAAAGACACTGGGCAGCTATTCCAATTTTATAAGCCCAAAGTATGTTAGAGATTCATTCCTGAGCAATCAGATTTGCAAATGAAGCTTGTGTTTCTCTTCCAGTAATGAAGCTAAGGATGCTAAATTGCAAGCTACAGGAGGTAAGAGAAGCTCATGCTATGCCAGTTGAAAGTCAAGTAGAAATATAACGCAAAGCAAAAGCGTGCTGCTTATATACCGAGTCGAAAGTCACGTAGAAATATAGGGCAAAGCAAAAGCGTGCTGCTTATATACCACCCCATAGTGCTTCAAGCACTTTCTGGACGGTTT